TGTCAACGGGCAGTTGGCTACTGTCGTAATGATTTCCCAAACTTTAATAACTTACAGTTGCATCAGTCACATAAAATGGTATTTTATAGTGGCAGGTGAGATCGCTATGGTGTATTTAAATTCTTAACACATTAATACATATATAGCTATATTTTTATACCGTGATCTCATGGAGTGACCGGTACATGTCGATTGGCTGGGACAAATAAATGGCCTAGGGTTTGCCAGTAGTTGCTACACTTGGCATGCGAGTTGGCAACCACAGTTTAGTTTTTTTTTATACAACTTAGAATGGCAAAAAAGCTGACGGCCCACCTGATGGAAAGTGGTAACCCTCGCCTATAGACATGAGCAGTACTATGGACATAACAGAGTATACTGTTTCGCCCATGATACCCCCCATGCGTTGCCATTCCTGAGGACTCAGGTGTTATTTCTCTGTACCCAGTAAATTTACGCCATATCCCACTCACCCTTCAAACCGAAACACAGTCATGCAAACACAACTGCTTCACGGTTGAAACACGAATGGGACAGAGGTGTCCAAGCAATCGACTTATGTACAGTCTCCCTCTGGTAAGCTTTTGGTGATGTTTTAAGTGGGACGCTGCTACCTATCCCTCGACCATGAGCTCATTTAGTCGCCTCTTACACGCTCCTGTGAAAAGAAGGGGTGGCTTATGCCGGAAACTACGCGGCTATCCCATATAAAGTCTAAATCATTTAATATTATATATTCCATATGTAATTTTATATTATTTATTGTGTATAGGTATACATTATTAGTTGTTATTTTCTCTACCCATCCCAATAATGTAGCACCGCGTCCGTGATTCACCGTTCATCCCTAAGGATGACTCTTAGAGAATGCTACTGGCATTTTGTACCATATTTTCTTCTGGTCATTAAAGTTATTTAAATAAACAATACTTGAATACTAAATCAGTGGCGATTTGTTCAGCTTTTAAGGCGTTAAAGGTAACAAACATACACACACAAATATTACTGTTTTCTGTAGCTTTTCCTGCATGAGCCAGTGTATAATATGACGTATGTTTAAAGCTGGAATATACATAATCTTTCTATGTATATATACAAAATATCATTCAATACGTTCTGTAGTTTTTGCATGAAAGACTAACAAACAATCATGCATACATATATACTTACAAACTTTTTTATTTATTACGGTAACAGGACAACACGTCTTGAAGCGTACGGCAATCAAGTTCGTATGTTTCCATCGATTGTTGGAAACTCCAATGTCGCCCTTTATCCTGCCCAAATATTGGTTCAGCTTTGGCCAACTTCAATCGGTACCTCTATCTCTCTCCTTGTACAGAACGCCGAGAGAGATGGCGAGAGTCGGCCGCCTTGACAAATAAGTGTTAAATTTCGTATTCACATCGTGCGTGTGTGAGTGTTGCAAACCTAAAATCATGTTTCTATTCAAGGTCGGCCAAAGAAAGATGTTTTTCTACCAATTTGACATTTGTCTATGGTTTTTAGATGTTATCGTATTGTATATTTTACGGGATTCATGGGTTCAGTAGTGATATAAAATTATATTATAAAAATTATAAAAGCAATTATAAAAGTATTTTTAAATCGATTTTCGATTTTTTTTTAATACGATAAAAATGGAATTTAACCCCACTTGTGCTGTCGGCATTGTCGACTAAATTCACTATGTAGTCCGAAACGACCTATTAAACGAAACATTGGGCAACTCACACCGTAATTCAAAATACACGTGGTGCGAATCGCCCCAATACCAAATTTATGAAGTTCATGTTGTTTGTGTCTAGTGACGTTAACCTTCCATCAGTCGGGCCGACAACCTTGTTTGCCATTTCGGTCGAAAACTTTCGAAAATTTTCCAATATTAGTTTGTATTAGACGACTTACTGTCTGTTTTTCCATGAATCACTTCATTTCGTACGCGCTCAAATTGCAACTGTAATTTTTTAAATAAATATACTCGTAAAAGACATTTTAACTTCGATTACGAATCATTTGCTGACTAGCTACCAATAAGGAGTGGTAGATAGTGAGTTTTTTTATGGGTGATAATGGAATGGTAACCCCGCACTGCGCTATCGTTATACGCTGGCAAGGCACCAGTGAAAGATGAAAGCAGGTCAGTTAGCCTATCGTGAAGAATTCCACAATAATTAACCACAATGGTTTTCCAATGGGAACCGCGTGGAGGTCGATTTGGTAAGATGCATTGCTAGCAATGGGGCTGTAAGACCCCATTATTAACAATTCCTTTCCCCCAGATAGTGAAGTTGGAATCAAGTCACTTGTCCCATCGTGACGAAATTTATTAGAAATTTACTAAGATGGTTTTATACGCCGCCAGCGTATACCAATAGCGCAAACTCGGTACAATTCCATTTCCAGCCCATAAAGAAAGATAGCTCAACTACATACTGTAATGAATGCCTCACCCTTAAAAATGAATCACGCATACTACTATCATACCAGGAATAGATTTTTTTATTGTTTCTCGCTATGTATCACTCTGATATGTGCCAAAGACTTTTATATGCAAATGTTTGTTTTATTATTCTTTTTATTGACGACTACATGAGTCCGTACATTCGTCCGCGTGATCTGGATAAAGATTACTACTTATTCCAAATTATATTATAATTGGTTTAGTCGTTAATGTCTCAACAAACAAACAAATTTACTTTCGAATTAATGGATCGATTGCTTCGCTTACATTCTGTTCGGAATATTATTTAAAACGATATGATTTTTGATGTTGTAGTGTAATATAGGTTCTAGTTTAAATGTCTTCTAGGATTCCTAAAAGGACGTAGCTAATGGCGAAGAATATTTTATAATTTTGGGTGTTATTCTAGAATTTAAGTTGACCTTCATAAATAAAATTCTAACATTCATTGTTAAAGCAATCCGTGTGGAATAAAGTGTGTATATAACCAGAATTTTTAAAATAATTTCTTTTCCCGCCATAACTAACGTAAATGTATTTCATTAACTTACAATACAAGAGAAATTGTAATGGTTAGGTAAATATGATCATACTAAGTACAAGTTTCACATTTTAGCGTCACTTTTCTCAGCTTTTACGTTCAGCTATTGAAAAGTAGAGCCCATCCGGAGTTGTCGAAGTAATTACAAGGCCTGGCTTTTGTTAGGAACAAACTCCTTCATAGCTGTTTCATCAACAACATACTAATTTGCATCTATCGTTGAAGATTTTTTTGTAAATCTAAGTTTTAATGTGTTCGACCACTGACTCACTGTAGCCTCTTAAATTAAACATTCTTACTTATTACTTGTTTTAATTCTGTTGTTTGTTTATAGATAAGATCTATAAACAATCTACAGAATTAAAGTGTTTTTTATTATCCCATCGTCACTATTATATTATGAACAAAGTGTAAAACGAGGTTATCAAAGTAAGTATCTATGTCTACTATGAATGCAAAATATAAGAACTCAAAGCCGACAACCTGCCCCATACATACGTTTTGGTACTCTATTCGCGAACCGCCCCGCATGCATAACTAGGCAGGCACCTACATACACAACTACAGACGTATATCTAAATATATGTTCTGTAGTCTGTAGTCGGAAGGGTCAGCTCCCCTTCCCGCAGTCGCGCGCTCCCCCGCGCTCTATCGATTGCGCGCCGTTGCCACATCACTACTTTCCCGCGCCGTTGCCAGCCCGCTGCTATTTAGATATATTTATTATAACAAGAGTGATTGTACTTTATTACTTGTTGCTGTTTCTGCGACATCGAGCACTTGATAAAAGATACCTACCGTTTCTCATTCACGCTGCAATGGAAAATTGGGAACGTTAATTGACATCAGCGAATTATAAACAAGCCGAATACAAACTCTTCATCCAATTTTTGAGAACTCTAATTGTTGTGTGGGTGAATGAATGAAATACTTTCTTTATAGTTATGACGTTCGTGAAATAGCTAATCGAAAGTTGAACAGATGTAGATAAATTAAAAACGAAATCGTACTGGCTGACGATAGATGTTATTACCGATAGATTATGTGAAAACCATGTCACCACAATCGATGGTAGAGAGAGAAATTTAATGACTCGCTTGTTCTAGTTCAATTCAATGTGATTAAATACAATACACTCTGATTTTAGGACATTTTACATTACTATGTGCGACTCGGCCCATGATGGGGATCATAGATAGGCATAGAGATAGACGTAGTTACCTCAGTTTACATGTAAAGTATGTAATGTATTTAAATGACTTTACGAAAGTCATTTATTTATTCACAGTAAATCCCTTCTCGTAGCTGGATAGCTATTTCGAAAATACCATATGTAATGCATCTATTAAATCTATATCTAACTATAAATAGTTATAGGATTTTTTTTTAAATGAGGACGAATTAGATTCGCATTTTTTTAGTGATACTATAAAATCCGAATAATTCTAACAAAAAAGAGCAGTTGGGCGTTTCGCTCCCCTGGTCTGAAATGCCCCATTAAAAAAACTATTGTACAATTTATAACATGGTCCGAATCACCCCACGTTGTTAGATAACGTAGGGTAATTCAGATTGCGTTGGAATGGTAAAAAAGCTATTAGGCTTTTTGTAGACTATTGACTAGCCTATCGGAATAGTTTAGGTAGACTGGCCCAGCCATAAACGATTACAATGATCTAATTACGTAAATGAGGTTAAGTGCGGAATTAGTCAAACCATATACATAGTAGTATATAAATCTAAATGTTGAACTGATTGCTGTTAGATAACCCCACTAGGTGGAAAATAAGATGTAATCATCTCGTGTGTTGATATTAACTCCTCATATGATATTTACCCTTAATATCTAAAGTGTTACGTCGTAAATTGTCTGTAGTTTACTGCTCGTGTGTAATAGAGACTGCAGTAGCTTTTCGAAACACCACTACGTGATCGAAAATGCATTCAATAATAGTGTATATTTGCTACCATCTTGTTGGGTATTGAAATAACACATAAATATATAGTCTTTATTGTAACAAAGTTGGAATGAATTGTATAGCTAGCTAGACTACTATCTACCTAAATGGTTTGTTCTCTAATCATTGAAGTCTCCTGTCGTTGGGTCGAGTTGAAACTTCCTAATATTATTTGACCTAATATTTTTAATCAAACCTAAAATTTCGCTACGGAATTCTAATTTCTGGTCTACATCGAACCTCCTAACCACTGGTAAGAGGGATTCGAAAAATGACCTATCCTCATCTTCTATTTGGTAAGTGGAGGCCGATGCGTCTATGTACGGGGTGTCGACGTACTCTATGTCTTGTTTTTTGTTTTTACTAGATCGTTTTCGTTTGAGATTCTCTATGGTCGAGGGCGGGCCATCCTCGCCATCACTGGGCCATATATTGGAATCAGTCAGCAAATTGAGCCTCCGTTTTAATGAGATCTTTTTGAATCCGTGAGAGTCGTCAGCATCGCTCTGCCACGACTCGTTATTGTCCAGATCCTCATCACTGCAATCACTGGGTTTGTAGATATCGTTTAAGAAGGACAATTGCGCTGCATACAAGTAACCTCTCTTTCCGTCTTTCTTTTTCACGTGTCTGACGAACGAATCTCGTATATTACGCCATTTGCCGTGTAATTTTCTATCTGAAACAGATTTTTTGTATCAACCATTCAATGAATGTTAGATTTATATTGAAGATCGATCTATAGGTGCTATTTGCGCAGTTCCTGTAAAGAGTTTAGATATAATTAATTTTAAAACCGCTAGTTTACGTTGCGATAAAAATAGGTAACGTTTTTCTAATAAAATATTCTCGTTCACCTAGAGCGTAAACATTGAAATTAACAGTTTTAAAAAGTTAAAACTGTTACAAAAGTATTTTTATGTATTTATCTAGAATGGTCATACGGTGAAGTTTAATACAATTTAAATCCGTTCAGTATGAATTAATTATTATAACACAGTTGAGTAACAAACATGCAGATGTCTTTCCAAATATTTGAAATTATTTATAAAATTAGTAGGTAAATATTTTTGTTTATGTTTGGAATAGTTCAGGCTATTCAGACCTGTAAACACTGCGACTTTTTAGAAATAGTTGTATTATTTGGCCGTTTGCTCTTCATCTTAGTCCTTGATTGGTCATTACGTTTGTTCACTTTGCTGTATCCAGTGAAGATCCTTGCCATTACACAGATATTGTTTTCATTAAATATAATTCTATAATTTTGTGAAAAGTTTTTTTTTATCTAGTTTGTATGCCACTAAATCTCATTTTGCCAATTTTGAATTAGTCTGTTTTTTTTTTTATTAAAAATACGATGCCACAAAACTGTTTTCATTTGTAATTGTCTCACATTTTGGTTCATATACTCACAAACATCAATTTTGTCGATTTCGGGCATATCGTCAAAGTCGGTTATAAAAACACGCGCTATTTCAGCCCAAGCGCGCTGCTTCTTGTTCTTGAATCTGTAATCTTCGTTGTGCAAATCCCATATTTCTGGATATTTCTTCACTTCACTTATAAACATTTCTACGTCCAAGGAATAAGAAGACATTTAGCACGACAGGATGTAGCAGAAGTAGGACGGGTATCGTGCGGCGTGATGGCGTATGGTCCGCGGGTATGTGATACGGGCGATCGCGCCGGAGTGACGCTGCGTTGCCGGCGCGAGTCCGCAGCGATTCCGCCGCGCGCCTCTGCCGGCTGCCACTAGTGTGCGGTGTTGCAACGTCGCATATCTCGTAAACGGCAACGTCTCCTTTATTGATTGTTTTGATTATAATTCAGAATGTGTTGCAAGTTTGCAAATACATGTCATGTCGTACTTGTGTCATAGGCGTACTTACTGCTATTTTGCTACTGTTGTTTACGGCGCTTCAAAGAGTTGTCTCGAACGGTCTTGCGTCCCAACTTGGTCTTCAACTTTGTTGTTGTTGTTAATGTAACTACTTTCGGTTAACTACAAAGATGCAACTTAGTCTTGTCACTAAATGTAACTTCTGACATAAATAGAGAATAGAACCTGCGCCCATGTACGGTCGTATAATACGAGAACTGCTTGGAATTTAACTAGGCCAAGTCTTTATGAACGGTGTAGGCAGACAGAGAAAACTAATTGTCTTGGGTATGATTTATAATGTGCGAAAAGTTCTGTATAAAAAAAATTTAAGGACGATTTACAAAAATGTGGTCCGAAAAACCTCATTGAAAAAAAAAACTAATTGGGCGACTCACAGTATGGTCATCTCATACGTGGTGTGACACGCCCATTTATCCATAAATTTATAATGTGTCTAAAATTTTAAATTATCAAGTTAAAAAATGAGAAGATAGTGTTATTTCTGATTCTGAAAAGAAGTTTGAAGTTTACTTCTTAAATAAAAAAAAAAACATATCTCGTCTCAGTACGTAGTGCTTATTACTTTTGTCAAGATTTAAGTTAATTATTTTAAAACAAACTTACATACTTATATACTTAATTTTACTTTCTTTTGTTACAGGTATAAGAGTTAACGTTAAAGGAATATTGGGTAAGGCTAAGTTAGAATAAGTTATTTGTACCGTTAAGAACTATAAAATATGTAACTAAATACTTAAATAAGTTCAATTAGTCAGCGTACATAAATTTAAATTATTTCCCTAAAAACTTTAGAATCCTAATGCGTGAAGTTTTTTCGTGCGTACAGGACGAGTATACTGCCAAGTAATTTGGTTAGAGAATTTTGGCGCGCATTCCACGTGTCTTGTTTGTAGACGTTCCAGTCGCTGCGTTCGGGTGAATAGAAGACTTTCTTGAGCCAACTCTCATGTGAAATCTTTTGCAAATTCGCCCTTATTTAGCTTCGTAAATGACACAGTGCGTTGTTGTAGATATTGTGCTAGTTTTAGTATTAATAATTAAAATCACCATACTAATAATACTACCATTTGTGTGTGCCAACGGATGTCAAATATTTTATGTCGCTACAAACGCCTCTGATGTCTCCCATAGCACGAAACAAGTGACACACTTTTAAATGTTCCAGACATAATGTAAAAACATAACGTTCTGTGTTGGAATCACATATAAACACTCTATTAATGAGCTAACACCACTTTTATACCTTTAATATACTTACTTATAGCATTTTGTCATTAGTTTTATCAATAATCTAAATCCAGGTTAACTATATTATAATTTTAAGCTGATGAAAGTGACCACGCAATACGCCATAATATTTTAAGCTCACTTTGATTAGCTGTTATAAATAATAATTGCATTGTTTCATTTTATCGATATAATAAACAAATTTCAAATTAACATTAACAATTGAACCATTAATTTACTCAAATTTTGAATTGCGACAAACAAAACATTTACCTCTCAATAACACAAAACAGTGTATCTTTGCAAGATACCACAGAAAATTGGGTAAAAAATACCATGTGACTATGAATACTTTTCAATTTGAATTGCACATATATTTTTAAACTGACCTCGTATATGAGTGTTTCTCTGTAAACTGGGCAAAAAATATTATATAAAAAAATACAAGTTATTACATATTTCGTCCATAACTTAAAAACATAAAAGCGTAATCTACCTCTACTTAATGTACAATATCCATTAAAATAAAGTTAACTATATAAAAAAACTTTTTTATAGTCCTCAAAAAACAATCCCCTGACGTGTAACCAATACAAAATGGTCGCAACAGGTGAAATTAATTATGACAATAATTAAAGGAATAAATACATTTTTTTTTTTTACTTAACCCATTTTATTTTATTTCTAATCAGACCTGTTTATTTTTTACAAATATTATTTTATATTGCTAAAAACTTAAAGATTGTTCCCGCATTTTCTGAACAGTTCCCCTACCTATATTTTAAATTATGTGACATGTAGTCTAAAAATTAAACAATTGCATTGGTGCATGTAACAAAACGCAAACGATGTAAAATTTGCGTTGTTGCCTCTATTAATGTCCTGACGCCGTTTTTTTTTTATGCTGCGCGAGCATCCCTCCGTAAAATTCACGTTGAAACCTGACAGTCGACAGTCCTCTGGTAAGGATTATTTTTATTTCTTTATATTTATTATATTGATAGCTTTGCAATTTTATACTGTTATAATAAATTATCCTTGTATACAGTAAAGCAACGTAACTCAATTACATTTTGTATTATCTTTCAATTAAATCAAATTAAACAGTCCCCTGGCAACAGCTCCCTGACTCTTAACAGGACAGGAGATTGTTTAAACAACCAGAGGACTGTCTTTACATTATGTTTGTTATTGTTATAAGTGTATTGTATATAGGTGTATTTTAAATATGGCATCGATGAAGAAATATTCTTAAAAATTTTAATATAAAAAAGAGAAGTCGACAAACATATAAACGAACATATTAAAGATAGAAAAGGAACTAAGAAACTTGTTAAGAATATGACTTCATGAGAGCACTGGGGAGCAAAGAAAAGGTGGTGAGAGAACTGCACCAAGCATTGTAATAATAATTTTTCAGTAAATGCTTAATATTTTCGAAAATAATGGAAATATTTTGGATTCGTCTGTCGTTTATTATTAAATGGGTGGAAATATATTCTTTGAATAAAATTATATTAATATATAAGTAAAAAAAAAAATACCTAGACAGCTTTCTTAGGGCGAGTTGCGCAGTTTACAGAGAAATGCCCATATACCTTCTTACATCGCGATACTTATCAGAAAAAATCATAAACCTTTACAACGTAAATTATATTCCACTGTTCCATATTCAAATGTGTTCTTTTTTTAAAACTTAATCACCATTTTCAGTCAGTACTATCATGCCTTTCCTTTTTCCCGTTCTTATTTCCAGAGACTCCCGGTTGTGTATTGTTATAGTGGCTGGACACTGCTTCTTGCATCACATTAGCTATCTGCACTCTCACCCACATCTTAATATTTACCGGTAGTTGCTTCATTTCTGGAAGGAACGAGAGGAGAAATAGTCTATCACTATCACTGTCTCCCTCTTCCGCTATTTCTACGGGGAACGTTGGCATTTCTAATTCTTCTGGTTCAGCGATGCCATCGGAACTGGGTTTTCTGTGTCGTTTCTTGCGTGGCTTTTTGGTTTTAACCGCCTGGGGTATGGGGGTTTCCTCCTCTCCGTCATCGTCATCCACCACGTTGTCATCGCTGAAACAAATTATATCTTTATAGGTTTTTGGGAATTATTTCAACATAACTATAAATATTAACGTTCACTGCTAGTTAAGAGTTCCTCACTATAAGAAGAGAATGTTTTTTCCTTTACCAATTTTTCACCACTACACACAGTTAGTACTTATACAACTATTGTAATAGCTATTTAATGTTTACTGTTTGTATATTCACCATCACCATGTCAGGCGTTAACTGTCCACCATAGAACATAGGCACCCCCTATAATGGGGGGTTTTGCAGGCGGGTTGGCATCCGTAGTTAGACATTGGTGCGTTCTAGGAGAGACTCAACCGTTTTTTTATTTTGATGGGTGAAAATGAAATGGTAAACCCGCCTGCGCTAACGGGATACGCTGGCAGAGCACCAGTGAAGGGTGATAGATGAGAATGAAAACAGGCCAGTTAGCCCATCATGATGAATTCATCAGGAATTAACCATGATAGTTTCCAGGGGGAACAGCGAGGAGGTCGACTTGGTTGGGTATATTGCTAGCAATGGAATTCTCGGTCTCCATTATTAACAATCCCTTTCCCCCCAACTCAACCAACGTTGTTTTGCTCCCTATAGCCATTCACCGAGTCCATTTTTTTTTTGCTATTAGAATAAAAATAATCCTATATCTCAAGTTGGGGCAAATAACATATATTTACGAAAATTCATTTAAAGTTAAGCGGTTTCGTTGATTAGCGCAAACGAACATTGTGATACGAGATTTTTATATATTATGATTAATACATAATTGTATGTCTGGCCTACGCATTGTAAAAACAGAGCTAATTACTATGTGTAGGTGTAACCTAGGCGAGCAATTACGGGTGTAATTAGTCGTTTCACAACACCTGCGATTCGGACCATGCTGTAAATTAAATCATCCAAGTACTATTTTTGAATGGGGGCTTTTGACCCACGGTGTGAATAGCCCCATTAAAAAAATGTATACCTAATCCGCACTGTGGTGTGAAACTCCCAAGTATTAACTACGTAATTGGCGATCTTCGTAGCGCAGTGGTGGACGAATCGCTCTGCGTTGAGGTTCCGTGTTCGATTCATGTCGGGTCGAGCCAGTTTAAGAAAGGAACTTTTATGAATTGGCTCAGTTCTGTGTGTTCAAGGTTATCCAGTATTAAATACCTGGTTCCTCATAACACAGAGTATCCTAACCTGAGCATCAGGCCATTGATGTTTTTGTTGGCACTTAAAAAAAGTTACAAATCTAGATTAGGGAAACCGTTCATTTGATGGAGTGTTAACATCAATTATACTAAAGATGGACGCTAGTGGATCGAGATTGCCTTTCGCCTTTGGAACTCAATGCAGCCAGTATGTTTAACCATGGATAGTAAACAACTAACATACTAATGGCGAAGAATATGTGTGTGTGTATATATACATGTATATATGTATATATACACACATATATGATTGTCACATGCACTACTTATTTACATTATAGTTTAAAACACCTCATTACTTTGTTATTCAAATGATGAAACTATTAATAAAAATGTATGTATGTATGTCTAACTATTAGACTATAAAAATATTCGTGGTCGATTTGACACAGTGGTCCGAAAGACCCCTTAAAACAAGAGCGCTTGGGCGACTCATGCCATGGGTCAAATCGTATAATATTTTTCGCTTTTGACAATAACAAAATATCAGTGTATATCCCTCTTTAGCCTTTAGCAAAGCAATAAACTGAGCTGTGACCACTTTGTGTTACTGTGGTACACGCACGAAATGAAAAATTATGTTACTTCTTTTGTTTTTCTTTTTTTTTATATGTATTCTTTTATCACTTTTTTTGTATATAAAAATATTTGTCTTTTAATATTTGTATGCTGAAAGTGATGTAAATAAATTATATCTATTTATCTAACTAGAAACGCTCTTCACAATGTTTCTTACTCTTCACTGATACTTCCAGTGAATCCTCCGAGGAAGCTCATCTTCTTGAAGTATCTATACACCCTTCTGTTGACCCTGACGCCGGTTTTGCGCGCCCTCAGCTCTCTGTTGTACGCGTCCCTCAACGAGCGCCATTTTCTTTGCAGTTGCAGAACTGAAATATGAACAAATTAGTGCATTTTGTTGCATTAAAATGTAATTTAATTGTTCTTTAATTATACGCTTACCACTAAAAAAGATTAAAAGATGATGAAATTAAAATTATATGATGATGAATTCCAGTAATAAAATATAATTCGTTATTACTTATTTAGAACTAGAAATACATATATATTACTTATTTATATCTTTATTCTATTCAAATAATTTATAACTACTTTCCATGGTTCACTTTTTTTTTTATAATAATTTAAAAAGTACGTGATTACATTATAAACCACGTCTATGGTACTATCCATGTTAGTAATACACTTATTTAAGCTGATGGCTCCCAACCAAATCCTAATATATTTTTTTTATCCAAAGAGGAAGGCAAAGGACTCTGCCCATACAGCTCATGTCTATCGTAATGATTCTTAGAATAAAAAAAAGTCTATGGTACTGTCGATAATCAAAATTCAAAATCTATGATATAACAATACTTAGTTATAACAAAAATTACTGAAACAGTTCTCACTAACTAAATGATTCTAGAAAACATTTGATCGATAGAAAATTAATGGATTCATTTTCAACTCGAAAAATTTTGCTCAATACTATACTTTTATTATTTAAAAAAAAAATTAATAAAAATGCCATATTACAACATACAAAATATGGAGAAAGGTATATTCCCAGACGAAATTGTATTACTATATGCCATTGTCGTGCTGTTTATCAAACCACAGTACAAATAACTATTAACGATACGACTATAATAAAATTCGCTAGACTATACTGTTGCCGACTGAACGCACCTTTGTCGTAGGCCGTCGCTTTATTGAACGTGTCCCAGTCGTGGTACAGAGCTGCGCCCACCTCCTTCCACAGGGCCAATTTCTCCTCCCTGTCGGCCGGCGTATCAGTCTTGTATAGGCCGGGCCGTTTTTTAATCTCCTCAATCAAAGCGGGTGGATGGAAAAACGTCATTGCGACTGCGACGAAAAAAACGCACCGTCCGTAAAGCGCGGCGCGACGCGACTGCCGCAGTGAGTCGCGTGTCGCGTGTCGCGTGTGTGCGCACGCAGCCGGCCTGCCCGATTGGTCGCCGTCCGCGGCGACTAGCCGCCCCCTGCGACTGACGTGTCGGAGCGTCGTTGCGTTGGGTTTTCATGAATGGAAATTGTTTATCTTATCGTTTGCTCATGTTGTATTCTGTGGATTTAAAGGCGTGAATTTACAGGGTACAGAGGAATAACACCTGAGTCCTCAGGAATGGCAACGCATGGGAGGTATCATGGGCGAAACAGTATACTCTGTTATGTCCATGGTACTGCTCATGTCTATAGGCGACGGCTACCACTTTCCATCAGGTGGGCCGTCAGCTTGTTTGCCATTCTAAGTTGTATAAAAAAAAGTTTTCTATTTATGGACTGTTCATGTCTATTCGCCACGCGCGACAGTTTTTTTCAATGGTTGATAATGGAATGGTAACCCCGCCTGCGCTAACGGTATACGCTGGCGGGGCGCTAGTGAGGATGAAAAAGCAGGTCAGTTAGCTCACCTGGAATTCAGCACGATGGTTTCCGGGGAGGACCACGTGGAGGTCGACCTGATAGGGTATATTGCTAGCAATGGGACTGGTAGTACGCATTACTAACAGTCCCTTTCCCCCCTTACGCGCGACAGTTACCACTTCCCACCAGGCGGACCGTCCAATTATTTGGTCGTAAAAAAAAATATATATAAAGTTTAAACTACAATACAATAATGGCCGTGTTATTTTTTATTATAACGGTCAAAAATTCAATTCGCTAATGGTTGCCAGATATTACTAGAAAAAATGTTATGAGCTGGATTGCTCTTGATTTTTTTTTATCAATTTAAATTTTATTTCAATATGATTTGAGTGAGAACAGATTTTGCAAATGTTTCTTTGTTTAATAGATGACAACGGAATGGTAACCAAGCCCGCGCTAACGGGATATGCCGACGGGGCACCAGTGAGGGATAGGTGATGATGGAATGGATGATGGAAATGGTTAATTCTTGTGAAATTCGTCACGATGGGCTAACTGACCTGCTTTTATCCTCACCTGTCATCCTTCACTGGTGCGCCGCCGGTGTATACCGATAGCGCATGCGGGGTCACTATTTCATTTTCACTCATAAAAACAAATACAAAGAGTCATAGGTACGTATAGACACAAACTGTGAATTTCCCTCGTCCTTTTTTAAAGCGGCCGATAAATATTGCTTTAATCACGAGATATGACGGCGATTATCCATTTAGTAAAGAAACAACGCGTGTAAGAAAGTACAGAGAAAACGTGTATACTTAGTTAGTGATAATTATTTTATTACTTACACCCAACGTCATTAAAATTGTACACTTCTAAGAACTAAAGTTGCACTATCGAATGCTCACTAAACTTGCTTCAAAAGCTGGCAAGATTTAGGGGCCGGTAATATAATATACAGCAATATATATTTATTTATAATTTTTTTTATTTTACACTTTATTGCACCATGTAAAAAGTTCATCCTCATGTCCTACAACCTCAATGGTCGCGTACTGCGCGGTTTCAGAGATGTTTCCTCCCACGAACACTCAGGTTGTGGAATGAGCTCCCTGCCGATGTTTTCCCAAGAGACTACAGCATGGGGTTCTTCAAAAGGGGGGTAAAGAGGTTTCCTCAGGGTCGGCAACGCACGCGTAATACCTCTGGTATTGCAGGTGTTCATAGGCTACGGTAACCACTTACCATCTGGTGGGCCGTATGCTTGTTTGCCACCACAGTGGTATAAAAAAAAAATAACAAATACAGTAAATGTTAATGAGAAGCGATACAAAAGGCGGCCTTATCGCTAAGCAATCTCTTCCATACAACCTTTGGGTAGAGGACATTGAGAAGAGACAAAGGGTAAGTGACGAACTATTATATAGTGCGCCGCTATTATATATTATATTATCTATTTATTTATCTATATCGTCATAGTCGTAGAATACTAACATATCTATATGTGTAATATTTGTCAGATCCGTCAGTATTCTACGACTATGACGATATATTGGTCCAACAACGAATATTGGATAAGATATTTTACGTATTCATAAACAGATATCCGACCGATATGGACGATGTCGAAATGAGTTTTTTCCTTTTTTTCTTCAGTCAATATCTAGTGAAACCCAATATATAGATTTCGAATCGCCACCCATATTCCCATGCCTAGCCAGGATGTTTTACTGTCTAATTAGAAATTAAAAAATATTATTAGTTTAATAGTTTAGAGTTTTAGTTATTAGTATAATAGGTAGGGGGGAGAAGGAATTGTTAATAACAGGGATTAGTAGCCTCATTGCTAGCAATATACCCTGTCAGGTCGACCTCCTCGTGGTTCTCCCTGGAAACCATCGTGATTGATTTATTGTTAGATTCGTCACGGTGGGCTCACTGACCTGCTTCATTCTCACCTATCATCCCTCACTCGTGCCCCGCCAATGTATACCGATAGCGCATGTGGGGTAACCATTCCATTATCATTTGTTAAAAAAAATAGGTTAAGTCTTTGAAATCATAGACTTAGTATAATGTATAATACTTATGTACTAACAGACTGGCAATAAAATCACAAAAACGAGACAAGAAAATGTGTTTACACTTGTGTGCGTGAAATGTAAATGAGAGCGTGATACAGTGTTGCACCATGCACATTCAGTTGTTAGATGATTTATCAATATTGTTAAATAAATACAAACACAAAATATACAGTTTTATTTAATTTAAATATTATTAAATTAGTTATTTTAAAAGTTAACAATAATTTATTTATTTATTTAACTTATATATTTATACACACGTAATTGTATGTAGTATGTACATTGTACATATTAGGCGTGAATTTACTGGGTACAGAGGAATAATACATGAGTCCTCAAGAATGGCAAAACATGGGGGGTATCATGGGCGAAACAGTATACTCTGTTATGTCCATGCTACTGATCAGATCTATAGGCGACGGTTACCACTTTCCATCAGGTGAGCCGTCAGATTGTTTGCCATTCTAAGTTGTATAAAAAAAACTGTAAATTATTCCATTTTTTTATTATTAAATATTACACATATAATAGTGTGTTATTAACCAATTAAAAAAAAATATGATCGTCAATTCGGTTGTATTTTCTTTATGTATGTTTGTTACCTCATAACTTTGGCAGTGTAAAACCTATTTGGAAATTTCTTTACCAACCAGTTATTTTTATCTAAAAACTAATAAATCGATTTTAGTAAAATTTCTATGTTACCATTATATCTTTCAGATAGAAAAAGAATTTTCCAATTCATTTTATAAAAAAATATTATACATACAAAAAAAAAGACAGACAAATTGATAACCTCCTTTTTGAAATCGGTTGAAGCAAACCTATCTCCCAAGTTAGCAAACAATATTTCATTCAAATCGGTCGAGTGGTTGCGGAGATTACTGCGAACGGATATCGTGACCGTGACCCGGGATTTTGCTAAGCCTTACACGTGCCGCCCGTTTCTCTTTGACAACACTTTCCAACCGGCAAATAATATTATCACAGCGTTATTTATATATTTATACTTGAATGCACAGTATTATTGTATAGTTGATGGACCTAATACCGTTGTTATCTATCTATATATGTGTGTATGTGTCTGAGCGTGCGTGCGTGCGTGCATACGTGCGTGCGTGCATGCGTATGTGTGCGTGCGTTCATGCGTATGTGTGCGTGCGTGCATGCGTATGTGTGCGTGCGTTCATGCGTATGTGTGCGTGCGTGCATGCGTATGTGTGCGTGCGTGCATGCGTATGTGTGCGTGCGTGCATGCGTATGTGTGCGTGCGTGTGTGTGTGTGCGTGTGCGTGCGTGTGTGCGTGCGTGCGTGTGTGTGTGCGTGCGTGTGTGCGGGCGTTCGTGCGAGTGCGTGCGAGTGTGCGTGTGTGCGTGTGTGTGTGTCGAGTGTCTATGTGTGTGTGTGTGTGCGCGCGTGTGTGTCTGTGTGTGTGTGTGTGTGTGTGTGTGTGTGTGTGTGTGTGTGTGTGTGTGTGTGTGTGTGTGTGTGTGTGTGTGTGTGTGTGTGTGTGTGTGTGTGTGTGTGCGCGCGCGTGCGTGCGTGCGTGTGTGTGTGTGTGTGTGTGTATGTGTGTGTGTACTAATATTATTATAAAGAGGGAAGATTTGGTACATATACATGACAGTAAAGGTATAAAATGTCCATTTATGTTTCTATTGTATCTTATTTTTGCAACAATAAATTTTAATATATGGCAATTAGTCGTCTAGTCTCAACAATCGAATCGAATTTAAACATGGATAACTGCAAAAAAAATTACGCACTATTCGACTAAGCTTACGATTTTCCGAGTCGCAGTACCATTTGTTCATCGATTTGCCGCTAATCAATATCCCAGCGTTTGACGTGAGCGTATTGGCGTATTTAACATTATTCTCCGGGCAGGGCCTGGCCCCTTTAAAAAGACATATATCAGCATGTTTTTGTGAAGCTCCGCTCGCAGCCTGGGGCCACGGCCTACTCGCCCCCCCCCCCCCCCACCCCACCTCCCTCTACCCTCTAAATATGCTTATGCGTGAGTAATTGAGCATTGAATTATCATCATTATGATATCAGCCTTTATCTCTCCACTGCTGAACATAGACTTATGGCGGAGCCATAGGCTGCCATAAGGAAAGGCATACCTACATAGCATTGTAATAAAAATATAAACAAGATAATTTATAAATACCTAAATATATTTATGTTTTCTTTACAAAAATCTAAAGTTTTGTTCTCCTCAAATAGATATGAATACTAATATTTATATTACTCGGGAATCGAACCTGCAAACAATAGAAGGTGAGATGCTATGTGCTAAACCACTACACTATCAAGTTCTTCAGTAAGGTCACCGTGTAAATATATATTGTATAATACATATTTAAAACATTTCCATGCCACGAGGGGCAAAATATAGATTTATCTAAAAATATATATGCACTTAATAAACCTATATAATTAATCTTTCTATGTTTTTGCAAAATAAATTTTCAATTTTCAAATATTATTTTTAGTTTTATT